CAGCAGCTGAGCAGGTGGGGGGGAGTGGGAGCGCCGCTCCCCAGAGGGTGACCCCCTCGGTGGCCCCTTGGCTCGCAGCGTAAAGAAACGCAGGACGCCTCTGACCGCTGCGCCAGGGAGGTGCCCCTGCAGCGGCTGTGGCTGTGCTGGGAAATCCGGAGCTGCTGGGATGCAGTTGAAGGGTGCAGGGAGTGTTGCTTGGCGGAGTTTGGGGTCTCTGCCACTTGTAAACGCTGCCCTGGGCAAGGGAGGAGGGCTTTGGAGTCAGCTCATGGAGGGGTGTGTGGAGCAGTGGTTCAGTGCTGCAAATCTGATACCCTGGGGATGGACTGGAGAGAAGCAGGTAGTTGTCCAGCAGTTGCTTGCACTGTTGGAGTCCCCTCAGAGGCAAGAGGGCACGAACTTCTAAAAGGTCACTATTGCTAATGCCGTGGTCTGATGGCCAGGCATGGTTACAAACCCTCTCTGGCATCACTTGATAAGCTGATGGATGCCCTGCTGATCCAAGAGTGACCTCTGTATACTGTAGTGGGGGGAACATACTAGAAGACAGGTGTGAGATTAAATAAAGTGAATTAAATTAAGAGGGCATTCCATGAGCCTTTGTTGCCAGCCACTCTGAGCAGGAATAGCTGCTAGCATGGGTCAGCACCACTCCCTATACTTCAGGACTGAGCCTAGTTGGGCTTGTCTGTGTCTCCCAGCAGCACTGCACCATTCCACGGACATCATCCATGGCTGCCGCTTCCTCAGGAGATTTTGAGCCAAGAGCTGAGACAGCTGCACAAGGAAAGCAGCAGTGCCAAAGGGAGGTGGGGAGCTGTGGGGGCTTGCTGTTTTTAGGCTGTGCTCTTAGTCTCTGCAAATGTGCTGAGCCCAGGATGAAGACAACAGTGAAAAATTTCTGGGGCTGTAAAGTGTCTTTAGAGCCACATTTATGACAATTCACTATTCAACCCACCAAATTCTCTAGAGAGAGATTAAGAATGAAATGTCTCATCAAATAGATTTCCGGCTTTCAAAACCATGAGAGGCTGTTGAGGAATAAAGGAACAAAACAAGGCTTCCTTGGGATACTATCATATTTATTAGATCTTACATATACTCTTGGAAAAATCAATGGAGCCCAATCAAAGACATTGTAAAGCCAGCACCAGGGTAGAGCACTGGCACAATGAGTTCACAGCAATGCAGCATCAAGAGAAGAGGATGTGCTGGGAGGAAACAGGCCAACTGGGAAGAGAGCATCAGATCTAGAGAGAAAATGGTGACCTGTCACGCGCAGGGCTGTTCTTGCTGAGCTCCGGGGCCATCTGTGGCCATTACTTCTGGTGGCTGGAGGGCCAGTGGCAGGCCTGCTTGGTTTGATGGGATTCAACGTTGGGAATGACAATGGGGCATTTCTGCTGCGTGGACTGGGAGGACCCTCCGCTGCCTCCTCCGGAGCTGATGATGATTGTGTGGCCTGAGGAACCCCCACTGCCACTGCTGAATCCCCCGCTGCAGCCTCCAGATGATCCTCCGCTGCTCCCCCCTCCTGCTATGATGATCTTGCCTCCTGAAGACCCACCACTGTATCCTCCTCCTATTCCATAGCCTGAGGATCCTCCGCTGCAGCACCCGGATGAGCTGCCACCTCCTCCACCTCCAGAGCTAACAATGATCTTCTGACTGGCACCGGTGCTGCCCCCGCTGGATCCGCCCCCAGTGCAGCATCCGGACGACCCTCCACCGCCACAATGATGATCTTGCCTCCTGAAGACCCACCACTGTATCCTCCTCCTATTCCATAGCCTGAGGATCCTCCGCTGCAGCACCCGGATGAGCTGCCACCTCCACCTCCAGAGCTGACAATGCTCTTCTGGCCTGATCCCCCGCTGCCACCACTGTATCCTCCTCCCACGCCATAGCCTGAGGATCCTCCGCTGCAGCACCCGGATGAGCTGCCACCTCCACCTCCAGAGCTGACAATGCTCTTCTGGCCTGATCCCCCGCTGCCACCACTGTATCCTCCTCCCACGCCATAGCCTGAGGATCCTCCGCTGCAGCACCCGGATGAGCTGCCACCTCCACCTCCAGAGCTGACAATGCTCTTCTGGCCTGATCCCCCGCTGCCACCACTGTATCCTCCTCCCACGCCATAGCCTGAGGATCCTCCGCTGCAGCCTCCAGAGGATCCTCCGCTGCTCCCCCCTCCTGCTATGATGATCTTGCCTCCTGAAGACCCACCACTGTATCCTCCTCCTATTCCATAGCCTGAGGATCCTCCGCTGCAGCCTCCAGAGGATCCTCCGCTGCTCCCCCCTCCTGCTATGATGATCTTGCCTCCTGAAGACCCACCACTGTATCCTCCTCCTATTCCATAGCCTGAGGATCCTCCGCTGCAGCACCCGGATGAGCTGCCACCTCCTCCACCTCCAGAGCTAACAATGATCTTCTGACTGGCACCGGTGCTGCCCCCGCTGGATCCGCCCCCAGTGCAGCATCCGGACGACCCTCCACTGCCACCCCCAGATGAGATGATAATGGAGCCCCCGCTGGATCCTCCTCCCGTGCCGAAGCCGGAGGATCCTTGGATCTGCTGGGACGAGGCCATGCCCCCACCATAGCTGCTGGAGCCTCCGCTCCCGCAGCAAGAGGAGCCCAGTGCCTGGTAGCTGGAGGAGCTGCCCCCATGGCAGGATGAGCCCCTGCTGTGGCATCCCCCGGACTGGGAGGATGTTTCGTGGCAGCCTCCGGAGTTCTGTCGGGAGCACATCTTTGAGCAGCAACCCTGCAAGGAAGAGAACTGTTAGGAAGGAGCACCAAGGAGACACTGCTGAGCCTTCAAAGTAAACTAATATCTAAGTGGTATCCTGCAAATATCCCTTCTACCCTAGCCTCTTTAATCCTAGATGAAGGGCAGCTTCATAAACTTCCTTGGTAGCAAAGTCCTGCACTGGAGAAAACTCAGCTACTGGTTTTCAGATGAAACAGTTACAGAAAAGCTGCGTGCAGGGGGACTGGGAGTACTCCCAGAGGTTTGCACATGTTTTCTGACATGCACAGAGCAGGCAGTCTGAAAGCCTTAGTTCCAGCGTAGGTCATCCTGGATTTATGGTCTGCTAAACCTCATGGCAGCTAAAAGCTCAACTACATCTATGCACCCTGGGAATACCACGGACAACTCCCATTTTAAAGGAAGGCTTTCCCCCAGGCACACCAAAGTGGCACACCACGTCCTACCCGAAGTAGAACTGACATGATTCCCTTGCTTAAAGCATGTGTCCCAAGACTGATGGAAGGAGTGACTTCTCTGAATAGTGGTTGAAAAAAATTCTGTATCAATGAGCTTACCTTCAGTCAAGCTTGGAATGTGTGCTAGGCTCTGAGGCGGATGAATGAGGAGCTCTGGGATACATGAGCTTTTATATTGTATGGACTGTTTTCAAGGGAAGTGAGACACCCTAAGGAATGCTGATACATTTATTTACTGAATCTGGCTCTAGCCGTCTCCTTTGACTCACTTGTAGCAGATAGGTGATATGGAGGAGATGTACCAATTATGTTCTGCATTATAATAGCTAATTCTACTTAATGATTCATTTCCGGGAGCCTTGCTCTGAAATGTTGGAGGCGAAAGCTCCTGGGGTCTACTTTGGGGATCCAAAACCCCTTTCTGCTAGGCTGCAGCCTCTCAGATACTCAGTGGAGAGTGGAGACAGAGTGGATGCTGAGGGATGAATGCTGGAGCGAGTTAGTGCTAGAGAGCAATGGAAGGCCAAGGGTAAGGGATGGGCAGGAGCAGGGTCCAGGAATATTTGGAAACAGGCATTTCTCAAGGATTGGTGAGTTGGAGTGGGGAGCTGGACAGGGAAGAGGAGTACTTTCAGCCTGCTAGAAATGGGCAACCATGTGCTGAACGTGGCAGATATACCACTTCTGATCAGGCGGTGTACCTTTCTGCAGACATTCCATGGCTGTCCCTGCTGCATACCTGAGCCTAGAGTCATTTCAAGAGTTCATGTGAGGAAGGCAGAGATTTGGGGGCTGTTTCCCCATACCCTCTCAGGAGTGGGAACGCTGGTGGTGCTTCTGGATTGAGCAGGAAGGCCTGTGCTTTATTCTAGCTTCCTAGGAATCCTTACCATTGGGTTGTGGTGAGGGAAGTCTTAAAATCTGTTTGCAAAGGTGCATTTGGAGGCCATCAAGACTCTACTATTGAACCATAAAACCCTAAACATCTCTTCAGCCTCAGGTGGTTCTGTGAGGATCCTGTTTCTCTGGCCAGCCCACCCACACCTGAAGGTGAGGAGGCCTCTTGAGTATTTTCCTGTGAAACATGCCTTGCTGGAGAACAGCAGTTTGCCAGCACAGGAACTGCAGTGCTGTCTTCTGTGTTCTGCAGCAGCTCCATCCTGTCACTGTGTCACGCATGCTTTGAGGATGACAACAGCATCCACCCCCATGGGAGATAAAGCAGAGGAAGGCATAATTGGGGGTTCTAACTGAGAGGATATGTGATGGCAGCAATAAGCTGCCCAGCCCTGTCACGATGAACATAATTTAGGGCATGCGCACAGCTTCAGTGGTATGAGGACAGGACTATCTATACCAGCATTGCCTCCAGGAATGTGTGTGCAGGGGGCTTCGTTCATCTTGCTTTGGACTCCCTCCAGCAGCCCTAGTTCTGCTTCAGTCACCAAAAGGCAGTATAAGGTCTCATGGGAATTTTGGCTCTCATCCATGAAACATGGGTGTTGAGTTACTGAATATCACAACAGCTTGATCCCTCCCTGTGAACTTAACCCATAGTGGCTTGCATAAAGGCACACTGAGGATTTGCAGCTCATCTGGACCCAGGGAGTGAGGGAAGGCCACAGAGCAAAGCATGGCCTTTCAGCAGGGATGGCAAGAGTTACTCTTGCAAATGTTGTGCACCCTGCATGTGTGCAGGCCCTGAGACTCTGCATGCTTAAGATCCCACAGAGACTGGAAACACCAAACTTGTGGCACATGCACACATGTGGTGCCTGCCCCATGGAGAGGAAGAATGTGGCTGAAACTACAGTTGCTGAAGGGGTTACCGTTGCCATAACCCTTCCCAAGTTAAGGAGCATGGAGTCCACACCAGCTCTAATACATATGTAGAGTAAAGGGAAGGTGGGATGCAAGAGGCTTTGTGGGGGAGGCTGCCCAAAATCTGGATCATGCTGCTTGTGCTCTGATGTCCTACAGATGAGGCCCTGCAGATGGGCCCTTTTCTGCTCTGCGGTCCAGTCACCCTCAGAATGGAGAGGCAGGTCATGTTATCTTTCAGTTGAGTCACTGCGGATGCCTCAAGAGATGGGGCCTGGGTGCATATTGTTATGAGAGAGAGAAACCAGGACCAGCTCTTACAACCCTTTTTTTACAGCAGCTTCATTCAGGCACAGCAATGTTAGCTGTGATGCCACTGGCCATGGTGTAAAGATACTGCTGACATAAAAGGAGCTCTCCAAATATTCTGCAAAAAGGCAGAATCATGTCAGTCGCAGAGTGTTTGCCAGGCTAATGCATACCTCTTGGAAAGTGAGCCTTTTATTCCTAACTTTGTTTACTGTGTACCAGCTCTGTATGGGAGATAGACAATAAAAATCCTGTATATCAAAATTCATGGAACTCAAGACTGTAATCATGCTTGTCCCAAAGATGCCCTGTTGATTGTGTCAGCACAAACATTGCTGGATGTTGCATACCAAAATGAATAGTTTTCTTGTGTTACCTCTGGAGAAAGTGTATAAAGACCTGACTGTGTCTTTCCAAAGGATACTGCTCTTTGCAGTGAAACCCGGAGCTTGTACTGTTGTTTCTTCTCTGGGAAAGGGAAGCTGAGGAGGAGCTATTCCCTGTGCTAAAACTGCAGTCTGGGTGGACATTATTAGAAAGAAGGGCACAGGCCATCAGCTTAAGCAGTAAGATCTCTCTCAAGCATGACCTGTTTATACCCATCTTTTCCAGCGCTGGAGGATGAAGAAGATGTAAGATTTCTTAGCTGCATGTATTTTGTATGTTTATATACTTTTTGAAAGCAAACATGGAACTGATGCAGGATAAAGCAAGCAGGCAAAAACAGTACTTTATGTACACAGTAAGTTTTATTTCCATGCACATTGATGGGTGAGAAAAGCAGCAGAGCCCAATCAAAGACATTGTAAAGCCAGCACCAGGGTAGAGCACTGGCACAATGAGTTCACAGCAATGCAGCATCAAGAGAAGAGGATGTGCTGGGAGGAAACAGGCCAACTGGGAAGAGAGCATCAGATCTAGAGAGAAAATGGTGACCTGTCACGCGCAGGGCTGTTCTTGCTGAGCTCCGGGGCCATCTGTGGCCATTACTTCTGGTGGCTGGAGGGCCAGTGGCAGGCCTGCTTGGTTTGATGGGATTCAACGTTGGGAATGACAATGGGGCATTTCTGCTGCGTGGACTGGGAGGACCCTCCGCTGCCTCCTCCGGAGCTGATGATGATTGTGTGGCCTGAGGAACCCCCACTGCCACTGCTGAATCCCCCGCTGCAGTCTCCAGATGATCCTCCGCTGCTCCCCCCTCCTGCTATGATGATCTTGCCTCCTGAAGACCCACCACTGTATCCTCCTCCTATTCCATAGCCTGAGGATCCTCCGCTGCAGCACCCGGATGAGCTGCCACCTCCTCCACCTCCAGAGCTAACAATGATCTTCTGACTGGCACCGGTGCTGCCCCCGCTGGATCCGCCCCCAGTGCAGCATCCGGACGACCCTCCACCGCCACAGCAGCACCCGGATGAGCTGCCACCTCCACCTCCAGAGCTGACAATGCTCTTCTGGCCTGATCCCCCGCTGCCACCACTGTATCCTCCTCCCACGCCATAGCCTGAGGATCCTCCGCTGCAGCACCCGGATGAGCTGCCACCTCCACCTCCAGAGCTGACAATGCTCTTCTGGCCTGATCCCCCGCTGCCACCACTGTATCCTCCTCCCACGCCATAGCCTGAGGATCCTCCGCTGCAGCACCCGGATGAGCTGCCACCTCCACCTCCAGAGCTGACAATGCTCTTCTGGCCTGATCCCCCGCTGCCACCACTGTATCCTCCTCCCACGCCATAGCCTGAGGATCCTCCGCTGCAGCACCCGGATGAGCTGCCACCTCCACCTCCAGAGCTGACAATGCTCTTCTGGCCTGATCCCCCGCTGCCACCACTGTATCCTCCTCCCACGCCATAGCCTGAGGATCCTCCGCTGCAGCACCCGGATGAGCTGCCACCTCCACCTCCAGAGCTGACAATGCTCTTCTGGCCTGATCCCCCGCTGCCACCACTGTATCCTCCTCCCACGCCATAGCCTGAGGATCCTCCGCTGCAGCACCCGGATGAGCTGCCACCTCCACCTCCAGAGCTGACAATGCTCTTCTGGCCTGATCCCCCGCTGCCACCACTGTATCCTCCTCCCACGCCATAGCCTGAGGATCCTCCGCTGCAGCCTCCAGATGATCCTCCGCTGCTCCCCCCTCCTGCTATGATGATCTTGCCTCCTGAAGACCCACCACTGTATCCTCCTCCTATTCCATAGCCTGAGGATCCTCCGCTGCAGCCTCCAGAGGATCCTCCGCTGCTCCCCCCTCCTGCTATGATGATCTTGCCTCCTGAAGACCCACCACTGTATCCTCCTCCTATTCCATAGCCTGAGGATCCTCCGCTGCAGCACCCGGATGAGCTGCCACCTCCTCCACCTCCAGAGCTAACAATGATCTTCTGACTGGCACCGGTGCTGCCCCCGCTGGATCCGCCCCCAGTGCAGCATCCGGACGACCCTCCACTGCCACCCCCAGATGAGATGATAATGGAGCCCCCGCTGGATCCTCCTCCCGTGCCGAAGCCGGAGGATCCTTGGATCTGCTGGGACGAGGCCATGCCCCCACCATAGCTGCTGGAGCCTCCGCTCCCGCAGCAAGAGGAGCCCAGTGCCTGGTAGCTGGAGGAGCTGCCCCCATGGCAGGATGAGCCCCTGCTGTGGCATCCCCCGGACTGGGAGGATGTTTCGTGGCAGCCTCCGGAGTTCTGTCGGGAGCACATCTTTGAGCAGCAACCCTGCAAGGAAGAGAACTGTTAGGAAGGAGCACCAAGGAGACACTGCTGAGCCTTGTGAAAATGAGCTTCAAGAGAAGCTGCTGCTGTCAACGATAATTTCCACCATCCAGAGGGACCCTTTTACAGCACAATAACATTAAAAGGATATCTATAGTCAGTGAACTGCCTTTCTTTTAAGTTCAGTGTGATCCATGGATCACAGCAACTTAGAAAAGCCTTGCACTTTCAAGAGATTGCTCAAGATAATGAACCTATCATTTGAAGTCTTTTATCCCAAAACTCTTCTATCTGGATCTCTGTAGTGATGAATCACATTGCTTCCAGCATCATGGGATTGTTTTATTTCTATTGACATCATTAGGAGATTTAAATTAATCAAAGCAACTTTCCTGCCTTTCAAGCTATCACCCATCAAGTTTACTTTACTGAGGCATTTCTGTTCTACAATTATAAATAGAAAAGGGGAAGAATCTCTCCGTTCAGCAGAAATGGACTTACCCTTCTCAGTTCTGATGGCACATACAACCGAGCAAAGCTGAATGAATGCTGTGCTGTGAGACCCAGCAACTTTTATATGGTTTCTAGCTTTCCGATATGGGAAGTGAGGCATCCAAAGGAATGGTGATAGGTTTATTTACTAACCAAACCCAGCTCAGTCTGCCCACTTGTCTTGAGTCATCAAATCAGAACACCTCTCTCCTGTATCATTTGCTAGGCTACCTGCAGTTTAGTTGCAGATATCACTTGTGAGCACTTCTGCAGCTGAGATTTGAAGGCAGGGGCTGTAAGATTTCAGCTAGCAGCCTGCACCCAAGCTGGGAGACTCTGGCTGGAGTGGTGGCTGACAGCAGAAGGGGGCTGTGGAATGCATGTGTTTAGTGTATATTACAGACTGTGGAGATGTCTGAGGTAAAAGGAGAGTGGTGCAGGGTAGCTAAGAGCTGATGTCACATGCAAGTAGTGGGTAGGACTGCTGTCACTGAGCCAGCAAGGATTCCCCTTCCCTTGTGAAGGGGAATACAGGATTCTCCTGTGCCTAGATATGCTAGTGTAGCTTGAGCTTTTTTTTTCTTTTTTTGCATGCGCCACTATGGACGGTACAGAGGTCAGGCAGGCTTTATACTCCCTCTGGGAGGAGGGAGGATGTTGCTTCTAGAGGGAAGTTGAAGTGCTGTTGGTGGAGGGTACCAGATCCAGCATTCATCGTGCACATCAGCATTTTGATGGATTTGAACCAAAAGGATGAAATCCTCCCAGTTTGGGAGATGGCTCTGGTGTTTCTGAAGCGGCACTGAGTGCTAAGAGTGTCCTGTGCTCCTACTCTCACCATGGGAGCCTCTGAAACTCTGCTCTGGTCCTTGTAGGTTCTGGGTCACTTTTGGGTGCAGGGACATCTGTTAGCAGCACTCTCAACACCCTGAAGTGACACCCTGAGCTTTCTGTTAGCAATGGCAGTGTTTGTGAAGTTCCTTCTCACAGGTATTTTAGCACTCTAGGGCTTTTCCCTATTGAAACTCCAGGCAACTCAACTGTTTCAGTGGCAGCATTGGCTGTTGTATGCTCGGAGAAGCTTGGCCAGGTGCATTTTGAGAACGTGTGTAGCCCTGGGGTCCTCTGGGGAGAGAGAATGGAAGGTAGGGGAAGATGTCAACATGAAGCTCCCTTTACCTGCTGTAGGCATGGGTCATTCCGGTCTCTGCTCAGCCAGTTCTAAACATTTATCATCTGTCTTGTGTGGAACAGTTCAGGCAGAGGTTTATTTTCTTTTCCCTGCTAATTACCTGAAAATACCACATCAAAGAAATTGTTTCCCATAGGGAAACTCCCTCCGAAGACTCATACCTGGAGCAGTATTTTACTCCTGTGTGAATGATGAGTTTCTAGTTGAGCCCTAGTTCCTCCAGGCTTAGCGTCTCAGTTCTTGGAAGGTGCTTTCTGAAGTCCTGTCCCAGCTGCTTGCTGCACTGGGGGGTTCAGAGCTGAAGCAAGGGTTGGATAGACCCCCCCATTTCTGTTTTCCAGCTACTTGGGTGGAATGTGCATCATGGAGAAAGTGCCCTCTCTACCCTTGTGCAGCTGCAAGCAGCAAGAGTTCATGCAATGTGCACATGGAAAGGACTCTACTTCACACCTATAATCGTGTATGGTAATTTTTTGTACTAAAGTGTAAAGTTTTTTTACATTTTCCTCTCCTGATCCATTTAAATAACTACCTTGGTCATTGCATGATGCCTAGATGAGGTAGAGGTTGGTTCTGTTCTTAAAGAAAGACTATTTGCAATATTTAACTTTGTGGTATTTTATCTGATGGGTCAAGATTGTGAGTAGCAACTGACATTAGAAGATGAAACAAAAATATTTAGTGAATCTGACTCGTTGATGTCCTTGGCATCCCTTCTACGTGTGGGTTTCCATTGCAATTGTGCTCTGGAGCTTTATTACAACAGCATCAACTCAGAAGAAAATAAGAGGAATAATGCAAAATATGTGGTAGAAAACAAAATCCAACCACTCAGACACTGAAGCTTTCTAGAATTGCAAGTTTTATTGTCTCGTGCAAACACTAGGAAACTGAGGCAGAAAACAGAAACATGAAACAACCCTGGCATCAGACTGCAAGTTATTAATGTATTTCACCAGAGGCTCTGGATCAGCAGGGGCACTGAAAAATTCCAGTAAGAGGCGAAAGGAATCATGCAAATATTCTTAAATTTAGTAGAGAAAGAAATCGGTGAGTTATGTTCGTATCTTGGGCTTTCTTGATCCGAGAGCCACTTCTGCAGCAACTACTTATGTTTATGCTGTGGTGGCCAGGAGATTGGCTGGGTCTGCTGATGCATGGTGGGACGTCCAGAACTGGATGAACCACCTCCACTGCTGCTTCCACCAAAGGAGGATGATCCTTGACTCTGGTGGCCTGAGCCACCTCCTCCAATAATGCAGACGGATCCTTGGCCCTGGTGGCCTGAACTGC